TTGGTACACAGGGGTTTTCTGACATGTGAAATCTGATGGTGCTACGTTTTCTGGCGGGGAACCCCCTTAAGACAATTTTTCGTGGGCCTCCTTGTCTTTGGAGCCAAAAAAATTTGGTAGCATATTTAAATTTCTTAAAAATTATCAGTCCACTAGAAAGCCATTAAATTTAGAATCTTTTTGTCACGTTATAATTTTTTCGTAAAACGCAATGTTTTCGAGAAAAATGTCAAAAGGTGATTGAATGCATATCATGATTCGCCATTTTCCTCAAAAACATTGCGTTTTTCGAAACAAATATCAAGAGACAAAAAAGTTTCTAAATTCAATGACTTTCTAGCTAACTAATAAATTTAAAAAAATCTAATTTGGGACCAAATTTTTCTGGTTCCAAAGACAAGGGGGCCTATGAAAAAGTGTCTTATGGGGGTTTCTCGCCAAATAGCGTAGCACTGTGAAATTCCACATGTCATAAAACCCCTGTGTACCAAATTTAGCGATTCTCGTACAACATGGTTTTGAGAAATAAAAAAGACTTCTTAGGGGCAGATTTCAGGGGGCTGTAACTCCGAAAGAGAGGGCTAGTTGGCAAATTTGTCTTAAAAATCTATGACCAAATTTTGTTGCATGAATTTCGGGACACCCTGTGTAGAATTCATAAAAATAATTACAATTGTTCCAAATGTTATACCCCCCGAACTCCTAGAGTTTGATTTTCCGTATTTAAGAGTGGTTTATGGGCGACTTAAAAAGTAAGTACATATAAATATAGTCCTGCAGTCAGTTTCAGTAGCTTTTTACAATTATATCCAGTACTGATCCCCCCCAAAGCGAGATTTTCCGTATTTTCTGTACTTATGTGCGGTTTCTCACGATTAAAAAAATGGAGGATAATGGAGCAATTCTCACCTTGAATTTGTTTCAGCGCGTCAAAATACATAAGGGTATATAGGTCTAGTTTTTGAAACAGACCACTTTTCTTTTTTGTATGCCTGTGTAATTAAAACACATCAGATTTATTAAAAAATTTGAAGCGCAGCAATTCCTCTGAGAGTCAGCAAGTCACAATATTACAAATTTAAAATTTTTCGAAAAAAAAAACGCTTTGTAAGAGTTCTAGATATTGTGAAATAATGATATTAATAACAATTTGCGATTTCTGGGTTAATTATTGCGATTAGAATTATTGACTGTCGAAATATCTTCAAAAAATATTTGATCGCTCATTAATTCTGTTGTACAAAAGCAAATAATGTTTTTAAATTTAACGTAAATACATAGTATACTTTTAAAATGACAACCTTCATGTAAATTATCTTACGTAAACTAAGTACAATGACATTGGCAATAAATCCAGTGTAAAAATTGATTATGTCGGTGAGGATATCCTCGGAAAAAATTACCATATAAGTGCTTTCAGGACTTGTATTGAATATCTACATATTTTAATTTTGGTGTACTACACTGATAGACTTCTATTGTAATTAAGAAGGATACTTATTCAAACAAAGAAAAAATTCGTAAATTTATTTAGTACATACATGTAAAAAGTCCAAATATTTTTTTAATTTAGTTTTAGTAAATTTTATTTCAGACAACGTAATTTGTATATTTTATTTCGGATTAGCTAAAAAGTGTTAATTAGATTTTAGAAAAATTATGTTTCAGAGCGCGTAAATTGGTTATCAGAAAATATCATTTGTATAAAAGCAAAAATCATAAAGTTATTAATTTATTAGTATCCGACAGTTAGTTATCAATTGTATTGTATAAAGCCATTGAAATAGTCATTCTAGTGTCAATAATTTTTTGAAATCTAATTTTTATTGACTTTCCTAAAATACTTTTGGCGAATACAATACAAACTAAATTACAATTTACTTTTTTTGCATTAATACTCAAAATCCAGAAATATAATAGATGTTTTCTGAAAAACATATGACTAATCTGGAATTTGTTGAAGTTATGCTTTTTATGAAATAGAATTAGCTAATCAGAATACAGATAAAGCAACAAAGTACGAGTATATACAGGGATGGCCAGAAGTACGGAATAAAATTCATATCTTTTGAATGAGTTAATTTTTTTTAAAACGCCGAAACACGTCAACTGACTTTGATTTTTTCCCATCTTTCGGTTATATAATAATTAGTTTTTCTTCAACGCCCCTAACCCCCAGCTACCCCTACTTTTTCTTTCAAATGGAAACATAAGGCATGAGGGGGCTCGTTGAAAAGCTTATAGAAAACTGAATCTAGCCATACCAAATAAACAAGTTTTATTTTTTCAATAACAAGTTTTTTTCATTTAGAAATTGAAACAACTAGATAATTTACAAAAATAAACTCAATGTCGCAAATGCTGAAAATGTCCTCCATACACTATTTGGCATTCTCCAAGACAATAGTATAAGCTGTCCACACCATTCTGGATGACTTCAGCTGGTAAATTATGCATCTCCGCCCTAATCTTGTTCTTTAAATTCTCAATATTATCCGGTCTGTCCTGGTAGACTCTTTCTTTCAAATATCCCCAAAGAAAATAATCCAGGGGTGTTAAGTCGGGGGATCTTGGCGGCCATTCAACTGTACCCCGTCTACCAATCCAGCGATTTGGAAACATTTCATCTAAGTATCTTCGAACATCAATACCAAAATGTGGGGGAGCGCCATCTTGTTGGAACCAAATTCTTTCATTCGGTATATCTGGATCAATTTCATGAGGGAAAATCACAGCTAGAGCAGGTATCAGGTCAAATGTTAGGAAATCCAGGTAGCGTGCGGCAGTAAGATTTTCTTCAAAAAAGAATGGGCCCAAGATTCTGTTGTTGATGATACCTGCCCATACATTAACTTTTTGTGGATGCTGCGTATGCGATTCGCATGTCCAGTGTGGATTTTCCTGGGACCAAAAGCGATAGTTGTGCCTGTTAACCACTCCATTTAAATAAAACGTAGCTTCATCCGAAAAAAGTACGTCTCGTTGAAAACCATTATTGTCGTCACACCGTCTCATCATTTCCTCACAAAATTGTAATCGCCTATCATAATCGTCTTCCAAAAGCTCTTGGACAAGACATACCTTATAGGGGTGGTATTTCTCTTGTTTCAGAAACATTCGAATTGCAGTTCGAGAAGCATCGTGATTGCGGGCCAATGAAACAGTTGAAGTATGAGGATTTTCAACAAGTTCTAATGCAATGTCTAATTTCTTTTCTTCATTCAAAGCACGTGCCCGTCCAGTTTTGGGCAAAGTCTGTACTGTACCGTGTTCCTCAAATTTGTGAAATATTTTACTAACTGTCCCTTGCGAGATTTGGTTTTCGGGATATTTCGCATTAAATAAATCGCGCACTTCAGCCTGACTTCTTATTTTGTCTCCACATCCAAGCAATATCAAGATTTCGATGCGTTGCCTTTCCGACAATACCATTGCAATTCAGTAAATAACTTGATTTTGACACAATAGTAACGTTTCGAACTCCAATTTACAACTAAAGCGAAAAATTAACCAGAAAGCCTGGCAAGTAAGTGGTGCCAAAAAAACGCAACATAAAAAATATATCTTTTTTGCGTTAGCAGTGATAGGTACAGTTTCAAATTCTTTATTTTATTCTGTGCAAATTCATGGAGGATAACACTGAAGATAATTAAATTTTATTTCACTTGTTAAGTAGGTGTTTTATACAACCCTAAAAACCTTGCTATTGAAAAAATAAAACTTGTTTATTTGGTATGGCTGGATTCGGTTTTCTATAAGCTTTTCAACGAGCCCCCTCATGCCTTATGTTTCCATTTGAAAAAAAAGGAGGGGTAGCTGGGGGTTAGGGGGTTGAAGAAAAATTAATTATTATATAACCGAAAGATGGGAAAAAATCAAAATCAGTTAACGTGTTTCGGCGTTTTAAAAAAAATTAACTCATTCAAAAGATATGAATTTTATTCCGTACTTCTGACCATCCCTGTATGTTAGATGTAATATAAATTAACAGAAACTAAAACACAAACATTTTAAAAATATGAATATATTATAGAGGCAATTGTATGCAAAAATATATAAATCAATTAAATCGCAGCATCCATAATAAAAAATAAAACTATTATAACATCTTTAATATTCAGTAAGAACAATTTGTCAAAAGTAACGTGGCGGATGAAATAGCTCTTCCCAAAGTACTCAGTCATCAGAATTCCTCAGGTGTCAGTTTTCCTCAATTCTATTCAAGATTTCTTCTTCAATCTCTGCAGTTCTTGTTGTACGATGACGTAATAAATCTTAATTTCTCAGGTGAAAACTACAACTCTCGCGAAGGCATTTTTCAACATTTGCAAAGACTTGATGGGAATAGGATATCTTTCTGAGTAAACTGGCCACTGCTCTCAAAATCCGTAAACCAAAAGTATATCTTATCAATTTCAAACACAAACTTTCTATAGTATGAAATACCCATCAAGAATTGACGAATACCATGACTTTTAAAAATCAAACCAAAATCACATAAATAGAAAACTACTATATCACTAGCGAAGACTTCCAAATAGTATTTGTTGCATGAACGCGAAAAATTATGAATAGATAAATTTTAGAAACCACTCTGTATAACACCAAAACGTGTCAATTGAAAGAAAACACCCACATCTTAGGGTTATTAAAATAATATTTAAAATTTTCAGGACTTTGAGGCCATCTAGCGGCCAAATTTGTGGTCTTTCATTGTACACGTACTTACAGACACCCCTGTATTTAAATAAAAATCTGCGACTTAAACGTACTGTTCACAACTCTCTGTTTACAATTCGTGGAATTTAAATTAACTAGCTTTTAGATACCTACTTTAAAATGGTGGCCATTATAAAATCCCCCAGGTCGCTTAGCTTTAAGTTTATTCTATATTTATCTTTTATCTATGTTCTATTCCCACTAACACCATTGTGTCTCTTAAAATATTCACTGACTACGTTACGTTTGACCAGCCGTAGTTACTTATTTCTTTCGCTTACCTGTAAGGACACAACCAACCAAGAGGAACAGGAATCCGAAGATGGGCAGGATAATTTGGCAGTTGGCAGCAACCACGACGCCGGCCACCATGAGGCCGCCTTCTATTTTTTCCACCCTGAGGCGGGAAATTGGGGCCGGACACCGCAGCTTGCTGCCCCCCACTGTCACACTACCGCCACCTCCAGACACTTCGTTAGGCCTGCAACAACAGAAATATAATTTTAGGACAGATACATACAAAAAGGATACCGAAGAGAAACGTGCCTTGAAGTTATACGTTTTGAAACAATATTATCTTCTTGCAAAATAAAACCAATTCATTCACATCACTATCAAAACTACAGATAGTTATTATCAACAATGATTAATTATTCGTAAATACTTTCCATCAACAAACATTAAATTCTTATGTCGCTATCAATGTTACACAAACAGATATACTCGTATGTTCTAAACATGATGGTAGTGCTGAGGCGCCTAGAAAACATCGTGTAATAAATAAATAAAATTTGCTGTAAAATGACAATTACAAGAACAATTATTTACTATTAAATCTCAGTAGATGCAGGTGTCATTACAGTTATATGGATTTTTAAATATCTGACACGTTTTTTATTTAACCATTTCGTAATTACTTTTATCGTGTTTGCCAGAGAAACAACATTTTATAAATAAACATTTCGCTATTTAAAATAAATTAGAATTAGATACAACTAAAATCAAGTAATTTTCTTTGATTTCATTTTTCTTATTAAAATCGTTATACTTATTACGTTATAAATACATTTTCTGTTTACAGAGTGTACCTAACATGCTTGAATAAATTACGTCACAAGTTAACAAAAAAAACGAAATGTTCAAGATAAGTACAGTATATTAAAGTCGTTTCAAATTGGCGACTGAAGCAATATAATAAGTAAATAAAGTAAAATATGATTTTTCACTAATTTGTCAAAAGGAATGAATCTTTTACAAAAAAAAATGAGCATCGCATTTCAGAAATATAGGTTGTATATAAATTGTAGAAATGTTTGTCCTTATGGACGATATTTTCACCTATCTCCTTGCAATACTATCTCAGAATTGTAGTGATAAAGTTTATGGGTATATTATATCGTATATTTCTAATATCAAAGGTAGATATGACAACAAGAATATGTCACACGCATCATTTTGGTTACAAAAAAACATTTTTTTAACCAAAATTCGGTTGTCCGGTCCGTTGTTTAGCAATTAACACTAACCTCTACACATTACGATTAACAGGCTCTGCATATTTACAAAATATTTAAAAATATGCGAGATATTCCAGCAAAAAAGAGTCGATATAAAGGTTGTTTCAGAAAGACCTCCCCTAAATACAGGGGGGAGAGTACGACAAAAAATATGAATTGTTTGTCTTATGAACTATATGTCTATCTCCTCTTGTTTTCGCTATACAGAGCGACAAAATAATTTTTTTAAAATAGAATTTTTACGAAAATTTCCAAACGGTTCAAAATATGAAATTTTATGAAATTTGGTATTCCTGGGTTTTTAAAGATGCCAAATACGCTGGTCTAATTATTTTTTATATATTTCATAGCTAGTTAGCTACATTCGTATTACATTTTAAGTTCTAATTTTTTCGAGGTTAGGTTTTTTACCATTCGGGCTCGAATTTCTAATGTACAATTTTATTTTCTAAAAGTAATGTAGAACTTCCTAATGTGGACGGTTTTCGAGAAAAAAGGCTTTTAATTGAACTCTTACAATATTACGGTGTATAAAATAAGCGACTTTTCTCTAAGTAGGCTTATTGGTGGACAACGCATACATTCTTAGTAATATTTTAAACTCTAATTAATTTTATATCAAAATTTTAGTGACTGTAATTAGTCATTATTAACTACAGTCACTAACAATCTCTTGTCTCTTGTTAAATTTTAAAAAACTTTATGGTTTTCAAGAAAAACCGTATTAACTGAAACAACATTTTAACAGTGTTTATTAGAAAATAATCGAAAAGTCAGTAGTAGGCAACGAATTTATCTTTCAAACTTGTCAGTTAGTAATAAAATTATTTTATTTCAACAATTGCCTCTGATTGTTGTTGAAAAAATACCAATTATAATTTTTATTATTAATTTCTGTTTTTTACTTACAATACAATATTCGCTTATTTAAAAACTACCTAGGTACCTACTTGTTTTCTTTTTGTAGAATTAGGAGAGAAGTGAAGTAAAATTTATTTGGCCAATTTTCAATTTTGAAAGATAAAGCCTATTCTGTTCTAATGAACACTTAACATTTTATGTCAATTAATACGGTTGTTCTTGAAAACCATAGTTTTTTAAAATTTAACAAGAGTAAAAAAATTTTTAAATTAAATTCTGCTGTGAATTGAGTAATATTACTATTTTTCAATTCGGTCAATGAAAAAAAAGTCGGTACAATTTTAGGGGTGAGTCATCCCCAATGAACACCTTGTAGTGCTTCAATTAACTTTAAATCATAGTCAAAGAAGACCAGTAATAAACCTAAATCATGTACCAAATCTGGTTCTTCTACGGTAAAGTGTTGCAGAGATATTTATTTTTTTCGAAATTTAGGGCCCCACTTTGGGGGCTAATAACTCTTCAGTGGTGCAACTTTGTATAGAGGTAAATCTGGTTAAATTACAATATTTTGGACAGCCCTACATGTACTTGCCCTGTGTCAGTTCTTATGCGGGACATTTGAACAAAAACAGTTGACTAACAATTTTGTAATGTTACCATGGAGACGATCCAATAATGTCATTTGATATAGTTTGGAGAGCGATTTAAAAATATATAGGATTTATTAAAATAAAATAGATGACTGCGAATACCAAACTGAATCATCCGGTATAAAAGAAGTGAAATTTACAAAAATGTGTTCTTCTCACATGGGTTGCATTGTTTTCGAAACAAATGGGAATTAATGCTAAATATCATGAAATTATGTTATTTTATTAAATAATGATAAAAATGTATTTCGAAAACTCTTAAATTTCTGTTACAGGAAGCGCAGATGCTGTTTGTATATTATTTCCCTTTTCTTGTTGCAATAAGTTGTATATATTTCTTATGTATTTAAATAACACAAGCAGCCTTGTTGATAATCCATTTGGAATCACGTAAGGTTACAATGGACTAAAACTTAAACAACCACGTAAATATTTACAATCTTACATAACACAACACTTTCTCTTTCCTTGAATGTAACCGCATTTTTGGAACTATCACACCGGAAGTACAGATTAATAGTGGAAACAAATGAGTGCATTTCCGGTTCCACTATATCACAGCACTAAATGCAGAATAGAGATAATAATTCAGTAATTTTGGAAAAAAAAATGAAAATGAAATTACTACATTATCAAACTACAAAACGAAGTAATTTCATTTTAATAATACTCGGTTACACTTCTCAAATATTAGTGAAATACTTTTTTTAGTATAAAATATTTTACTACTTCCATACAACAAATTAATCTTAATCTTTAATAACTTATTATTTTGAAATGATCGTCTTCATGAAAAAAAAAAATGTACGATTAGAACTACTGAAAACGCATATTTTAGAAAAAAACTCAATTGATTATCCCAAAGGCAATAAATTTATAATCCTTCATGTACAGGATGTTGGAAGTGAATGAGCTCAAGATTAGCTTCATTGAATGAAAATAAATTAATTTAAAACTAGGTTTTACTTAATTTTTCAAAAGTCCGTACCTAACTAAAGGAAGCACGATTGTAGCATAAGTAGCATAACTTAATTTAAATTGGATTTATTTTCATCTAGGGAAGCTACCCTTAAAGTGGTACTGGTTGACTTTTTGACAGTCAAAATTTGTGCAAAATCGTAAAAAATGTCATAAAATGTCACTGGGAGACATAATAGCTGGCAATAATTACACAGCCCCACAAAAAAAAACTGTCAGGTTCGAAAGGCAAGACCATGGTATCTATATGGATTTGGGGTCGCTGAATCCGAATCCAGTGTCTGTTTGACACGATTAGCTCTGATTTAAGGTCAGTTCAAGGTCAAATATAGAAAGTTAATTTCAACAAACTAAACCTATGTATCTATACGTTTTTGGGGTCGCTGAATCCGAATCCGGTGTCCGTTTGACGCGATAGCTCTGGTTTAAGATCAGTTCAAGGTCAAATGTAGAAAATCAATTGTCAACAAACAAACTAAACCTACGTATCTATACGTTTTTGGAGTCGCCGAATCCGAATCCGGTGTTCGTTTGACTTGATCAGATCTGGTTTAAGTTCAGTTCAAGGTCAAATGTAAAGCCATTTATATTGTTCGTATTTGATCCTATGTAAGACTATCCTCAAAATATGGCACTCTTGTTTCAATGTGCGTTAGGTTTATAACATCCATGTTGAAGTGATTTATCCAACAATATCATTGTAGTAACCTAAGGAAAATTCTTCATCGTTAGAAAAATATTCCTTATTTCTGTACTGATAGTAAAAAGCTTTCACTTTTCCGGCTTGCTTAGTATTTTTTTATTTTTTTAACCATGATATTAGGAACTTTGCTCCATTCTCTGCCAGGCCCAAATCTTGAACATCATTTACTTTTTTTGTGATATTGTTCCTATCTTTTTCACAACGTGATATGGAATATATTTGTCATCGCTTGTATCACTAGCAATATCAATGATAGTTTCATTGCCACCCAAATTTCTCCCTTCTTTAATATCTTGGTGAAACCTTTCTCTCTGCTCAAACCCAATCAAAATTTTCACTTAGGTTTAAAAACAAAATATTTGTATAAGTATCTTTCTTAAGTTGATTGATCTTTTTCTATTAGAAAGTATTTAATATACCTGATCGCTCCAAACGGACATCAGATTCGGATTCAACGACCCCCAAAACGTATAGGTAGATATGTAAGTTTACTTTGTTTTCAATTGATTATCCACATTTGACTTTGAACTGACCTCAACCCAGATCTGATCGAGTCAAACGGACGCCGGATTCGGAATCGGCGACCCCAAAAACGTATAGATACATAGGTTTAGTTTGTTGACAATTGATTTTCTACATTTGACCTTGAATTGACCTTAAACCAGAGCTAATCGCGCCAAATAGACACCGGATTCGGATTCGGCGACACCAAAAACGATACATAGGTTGAAAAATAGATACATAGGTTTAGGTTGTTGACAATTGATTT